CTGCGGGCGCTGTGGACTGCTGGGACACATTTCCAGCTGTAAGTGGCATCTGCCAGCCTGAAGGCCTGAGGCTGCTGGGGCTGTGCACTGTCTGATGAGTGCCACAGGGCCTGGAGCGAGGGACTGGTGCAATGAAGCCCCTTCCTCCCCCAAAGCCCTGCAAGTCCAGCAGAGGCCACCTGTCCCTGAGGCCGGGGAGAGGGGGCCTTTGGTCACTGGTGACCATTAACGCCGCTCTGCACATTGGAAATGCCGGGCAGAGCCGGGCTGCACCGTGGAGGCAGCAGAGTACCCCAGGCCTTCCTCCCATCTCAGCCTGCTGTTCCCTTTCAGGCCCTGACATTTCTCCCAGGCACATACCAGCACATGACAATGAATCTGAGCCCCTCCAGGCCCCCACACCCGGGCTGCGGCTGTCTCTGCTCATCTGTCAGTCACCCGATCCCCCACACCTGTTCCAGGCACAGCCTGTGAGCTGCCCACCCGCACGCACAGCTATGAATAGGGTGGAGGGAGGGTTGCAAGGGGGCACTCACGGGGCAGGGGACGGGGGCAGCTCCCATTTTTCCTTAGGCCGAGAAGCATAGCTTGTTTTGGGGAGGTGCTCAGTGTGGGGAGATATGAGGGTGGACAGGAGATGTCAGGAGTATAGCTGCAAGAGAAGGGGTGGGGCTGTAATTAGAAGGATCCAGGCACTGAGAGAGTTGAGGTGCTCTGGGGCGGGTCATCCGCGTGGCCGGCTGGTGTGTTCCGGGTCTGTGCAGTGTGACCATGAGTTCTGGGGCTGATTGTGGGATCTCTCTTTCTCCCTCGACCCCCCGCGCAACCCCAGCACCTGTATTCTGTTTGCTCCCAATTAGAAATTCCGTGAAGCAGAAACAGTGTCTCAGCCTCTCCGGGCCCCCCTGCCTCTAGCAGTGCTGGCCTGGGCTGGATAAACGGGCATCCGAGCAATGGGAAGAGCCAGGGAACGCGAGCTGATGACAGAGGAGTGTATTTGAGATGGGGGTGGAGCTGGGGTGCAAACTCAGGGTGAGCAGGACAGGGGAGGTTCCTGCTTGTGACTGAGGGACCTTGCTCTTCTCACTGGTGCCACCCGGAGGTGAGAGGGTGAACAGCTGCCTGCAACCTTGATTGACGGCCCTGGGAGAGCTTAGTTCTTGCCTCCAGCATCCTGTCTGCAAGGGGACAAGGACGTCTGGACAGATGATGACAGACAGGGTAGTGGAGGGGGATGTGCCAAATGCTCCTGGGGGCTGGGGGCAGCTGCTGCCTCTGTGTGTCTGGAAGAGCTGGGAGGTGTGGGTGCCAGTCCTTCCCAGCTTGGCACATGGGTTCTTCTAAGGTGCCATATGAATAAGCTTTTTTTTTTTTTTTAATAGTTATGTAGTTGCCCAGGCTCAGTGGCCCATTCCTGTAATCCCCCCCACTTTGGGAAGCGGAGGCAGGAGGATCGCTTGAGCCCAGGAGTTTGAGACCAGCCTGGGCAACATGGCGAAGCCTAATCCCTATGTTCTAAAATGATTTTATTTGAAAAATAGTTATAGGCCCGATGTGGTGGCTCATGCCTGTAATCCCAACACTTTGGGAGGCCGAGGCAGGTGGATCACTTGAGGCCAGGAGTTCGTGACCAGCCTGGCCAAGACAGTGAAATCCCATCTCCATTAAAAAAAAAAAAAAAAAAAAAAAAAAACTAGCTGAGTGTGGTGCTGGGTACCTGTAATCGCAGCTACTCGGGAGGCTGAGGCAGAAGAATCACTTGAACCCAGGAGGCAAAAGTTGCAGTGAGCTGAGATTGCGCCACCACACTCCAGCCCAGGTGACAGCGAGATTCCGTCTCAAAAAATAAAAATTAAAAAAAGTTGGCCGGGCGCGGTGGCTCAAGCCTGTAATCCCAGCACTTTGGGAGGCCGAGACGGGCGGATCACGAGGTCAGGAGATCGAGACCATCCTGGCTAACACAGAGAAACCCCGTCTCTACTAAAAAATACAAAAAAAACATAGCCGGGCGAGGTGGCGGGCGCCTGTAGTCCCAGCTACTCGGGAGGCTGAGGCAGGAGAATGGCGTAAACCCGGGAGGCGGAGCTTGCGGTGAGCTGAGATCCGGCCACTGCACTCCAGCCTGGGCGACAGCGCGAGACTCCATCTCAAAAAAAAAAAAAAAAAAGTTATATAGTTATTTTCATCTATGTGAGAAAGAATAGAATCCTTGATTTCATGGACTTGTTGCTTAGAAAAGAGTTAGGGAATAAAAGTGAGTTGATTTAAAAGAATCAGGATGTGTAGTGGATGACACATGAATGTGGCATTGATCAGAGGGGCCATGCATGGCTGAAGTCTGAGGGTCACCAACATTGATGCCTGGCCTCACCTCGTGGTGTTCCCTACCATGTCCAGTGCGTCCTTCCCAGGCAGCTGGGCCTCCTGCCAGCGGCATTTCAGGCATGGTTCACATTTCTGCCCTGTACTTCTAGCTGCAGCATGTCCTGAGGACACAAACTATCCCCCAGCCCCTTTTTAGAAACAGTCTGACAAACTCAGTCTCCTAGGAGGAGCAGGTGACTTAGAGAAAATAGGAGACAGGCCAGGTGCAGTGGCTCACACCTGTCATCTCAACACTTTGGGAGGCCAAGGTGAGAGGATCACTTGAGGTCAAGAGTTTGAGACCAGCCTTGGCAATAGCAAGACTCTGCGTCTACAAAAAATTTAAAAAATTAGCCAGGTGTGGTGGCACATGCCTATAGTCCCAGCTACTCAGGAGGCTGAGGTGGGAAGACTGCTTGAATCCAGGAGCTCAAGGCTGCAGTGAGCCGTGATCATACCACTGCACTCCAGCCTGAGTGATGGAGCACAATTCTGTCTTTAACCAAAAAAAAAAAAAAAAAGAAGAAGAAGAAAATAGAAACCCGAAAGCCCAGGTTCTGGTCCCATTTGCCTTACATTTGCCTGTAAGACCTTGGGCCAGTCACGGCCACAGTTAAATCTCATCTGGCAGAGGCCTCAGCCACCTCTGCCGTGCCCCCTGGGCACCCTGCCTGCCATGTGTCATCCCCTCCCTCCCAGCATCACAGATGGAGACAGAGTGGGGAGACTGAGGCCGGCCCAGGGCTGGTAGTGGAGGGCGTTTAGGGTAAGCATTGCTCTCTGTTTCAGAGGATGAGCATTGACTCGAATGCTCTTTTTCCCTAGTGGCCTCATCAAAGCCGAGGCAGATGCACCGAACCATATGCCATTCTGTTTCAGCATGAAAACAGCCTTTTTTTCCTCATCATAAACATAATCCACCCTCATTCTGCTCCGTAGCCTGCTTTCCCACTCAGTGTGTTTGTAGTCATCCATGATAATACATGCAGGTCCTTCTCAGCGTTTTTGGTGGCTACATAATGTTTCTATTGTGCTGTAGACAATCGACACCCCCCGCCAGTCTAGAGAAAGGTCCTGCTCTGGGAAAACTTCTCTCCAAAGGAGAGAAAAATAATGATTGAGTGTCCCCTCATGGCCAGTAGTAGAATTGCTTGGTGCCTGGCTCTGAATCTGGCCAAAACCTTCCTGGGGTTCTAGGGATCCCCTCATCTTCGCACAGAAGAATCCCTGGTGTCAGAAGCTTGACCAAGGCCCGAAGCTCTACTGCACTCCTAGGGCTGTGCTCTGGGTGAAGCTTGCAGTGATTTCAGATGGGGGGTGTGGGTGGGAGGACTGGCCGCCCCTGAGAATAAGCCTTTTGTAATGTGCCTGTGCATTGTTTCTGAGTCTTCACTTGTTCTCTTAGCACCCTTGGCTCAGATGTTTGATGTGGGGCTGAAGTTCTGGGCATGGGGTCCCCTCAGAGGCGTAGGGCTTCAGGAATACAATTCCTGCCTCAGAGTCCCCAGAGCTTGTCTGTGTGGTGCCTTCCTTTCTTCGCGGTGGCACTCTGCTGGTTTGGGACAAGTCTTGGGGTTGGAGCCTGAAGACCTGGGATCTCTCACTTACCAGCTGGGTGGTGGTGGGCAAGGCTAACAGTCAGGACCCGTCGTGGATAAAACCGAGGCTGTGATTTTGGGTGTGAGATCGGCACAGAGTCTTACTCTGCCTTTTCTAGAAGAGAAGTTTCAGATCAGCCCGACATTCAGCAGGAGGCCCTCTGGGCTCTGCTTTTATCAGGGGAAGGAAGAGCAGCCTGTTTGAGGCAAGGTGAGAAGCTGACCTAGAGGACCAGTGACTGGGCCTGTGAAGGGCCTTGTGAGCCAGGCCAGGGACCAAGACTCCTGTCCCTTGTGGCTAAATGGCTCAATGAGATGGTGCAGTGACGTCTTCTGAAGAGACTCCCAGGGCCGTTAAGAGAATGAACCAAAGGGAGGGACAGCTGGTGCCAGGGAGATTGCGCTGGAGGCTGAAGCAGAGATGTCAAAAGATCCAAGGTGGCAGGACCCCGCAATGCCTAGAGGGGCAAGAAGCCAGCCCCAGAGCCGTTTCTGAGGGAGTATCGATCAGGTCTCCGGCGAGACAAGAGGATGAGATAGGAGCACCCTTCACCCCTTCCACCCTCCGCCCTGCCGGTCTCCTGCCCTGGTTTTCTGTTCTCATGCTTCCTGCACTATCAGAATTCACTCTGGAACGATTCTGATAGATGCATTCAAACTAAAATAGAGCTGTCTGATAGAGATTCAAACCTTTGCAGTTTAACAAGAACAAAGTCTTAAACTATGAAACTTGAAGTCTTAAAGATGGAATCTGGGGCTCCCACCTGCTGGGTGTGTTAGTATCTGGGCAGGCAGCAGTGGCCTGAAACTATGTGGGTCCCAGTGTCCTCTTTTCCCATGATTTAGGCAACACGACCTGATTTTGTACCAGGCAGAGATGTAGAGGATGGTGGAGGCTTTCCAGCGTCCTACTGTCTACCCTCAGTCTGATTTCTTCCCAGCCCTAGAGCCGGGACCGGGACCCTGAGGTCTCCCTGATGCTCCCGTCTGACACGGCACCTGCTGACCCTCCCTCGGCTTCCCCCTGTCTCCCTCCAGGCAGACCTCAACACCAACATCGAGGATGAAGGCAGCTCCTTCTATGGGGTCTCCAGCCAGTATGAGAGCCCCGAGAACATGATTATCACCTGCTCCACCAAGGTCTGCTCTTTCGGCAAGCAGGTGGTGGAGAAAGTTGAGGTAGGAGGCCACCCTGGTGGGTGAGGGGCGCTCCCCAGAGCCATTGCTGCCCGTTCAGGATCTTCCAAGCACGTCCTTACAGGCGCCCCCGGTCCTCTCCAAGATCAGAGCCGCAGCACAGGCAGGGCCCCGGGACATCTACCTAGTCCAGCCCTCTGGCTTCACAGTAGAGGCCCAGAGAGAGCAGAGGCCTCCCCCGACCGCCCGCACGTGGTCACACCGCTCACTAGTGCAGAAGCAGGCCTGGGTGCCTAGGATCTCCATCCGCTGCTCACTTTGCTCCATGAATGCCTAAAACTCCCTGATTTTCTACTTGTGGGTGACCTGAAGACCCCGCTCTAGTGGACGTTACAGAAAAGTCAGGCCTGCCTTTTAGGCGGTGGTTTCTCCCACTTGGCTAAACCCCCGGCCAAGGGCAGTGCAGGACAGTGGTGAGGAGCACACATTCAGGGGGATCCCCCACCCAGCCACCCTGCTTTCCGGTGGGTGTTTGGGGGGTTGTGATAAAATCCTCCGTTTATCTCTAAACAAGGGCCAAGTTGTCTTCACTGTCCGTGACACAGTCTCCTGCAGCACCCTGTGTTCTGGGCCCGCTGCACAGTGGCCGTGACAAGGAGCTGGGACTGAAGGCCTCCGACCCGAAACACCTGTGCACTCTGAGAGTCCGGGACCCTGTGCCGCCCACACACGTGTTAAACCAGACCCCCTCGCCATGCAGGCCGGTCTGCGTCCCTCTCCTCACCCTGTCCCCAGCTTGGTCTGAATTCATGAAGTCCTAGTCTCACAGCCTATCAGTTATTGATAACCTTCCTCATGCCAAATGCAGCCAGATGCCAGGCCAGCATCAGGGAAGAGAGATTCCTTCCCCCAGTGCTTCTCCACCTGGCTGCACCCTACAGTCTCCTGGGAGCTTTGGAAACACACCAGTGCCTGAAACCCGTTCAGCACCCCTCAATCTCTAGGGTAGAGTCCAGGCATTATTGGTTTTTAAAAAGTGCCTCCAATTATTTATTTCTAATTAATTTTGTAAAACTTTTGAGATAATTGTGGATCCACTTGGGATCATAATCCCATGTGCCCTTTACCCAGTTCTTGCCCTGGCAATGTCTTGTATAACTAAAGTATAAAGGGGACACCCAGGAAATTGACATTGATGCAGTCCACCAAGCTGGTTCAGATCTCACCAGCTTTATACGTGCTCCTCTGTGCACGTGCATGGGTGCGTGTAGATATGGAGACTTGCATGATCACCACCAGACTCCCGGGGGTCCCTGTGTATCCCCCGTGGTGTCCTCACGTACAGCCAGGATTGAGAGGCTCCTTCCCACTGCTCCTGTGTCTCCTTAAGCTCCCCTCCTGCCATCCCCGGTTCCTGCCGGTCACCCGTGGAGGAAGGAGGTCTTGTTTAATGTCCACCAACCTAACAGGGTGACTTTTTTTGTGTGTGTGTGAGACAGTCTTACTCTGTCGCCCCGGCTGGAATGCAGTGGTATGATCTCAGCTCACTGCCACCTCCGCCTCCCAGGTTCAAGCGATTCTCCTGCCTCAGCCTCCAGAGTAGCTGGGATTACCGGCGCGTGCCACCGTGCCTGGCTAATTTTTGTATTTTAATAGTAATAGGGTTTCACCATGTTGGCCAGGCTGGTCTTGAACTCCTGACCTCAGGTGATCCGCCTGTCTTGGCCTCCCAAAGTGTTGGGATTGCAGGCGTGAGCCACGGCCCCTGGCTGGGGGTGACTCTTTTCTTAAGGGCCCCTAGGCCTCCTGCCTTTCCTTCCCATGGAGTTGGGTCTGGGTCCTGGGGCTTCCCATGGAGTTGGGTCTGGGCCAAAGGTGGTCAGAATGGGATTCTAAGCCCCTGCTGTCCCCGGGCCCTGCAGACAGAGTATGCTCGCTATGAGAATGGACACTACTCTTACCGCATCCACCGGTCCCCGCTCTGTGAGTACATGATCAACTTCATCCACAAGCTGAAGCATCTCCCCGAGAAGTACATGATGAACAGCGTGCTGGAGAACTTCACCATCCTGCAGGTGTGCCGCGGGTGTGGCTGGAGTCTGTGTGTGGGTAGCAGCGAGGGCGTGCCCTCATCTGGGGCCTTATTCACCCTTGTCTTTTTCTCTCCCACAGGTGGTCACCAACAGAGACACACAGGAGACCTTGCTGTGCATCGCCTATGTCTTCGAGGTGTCAGCCAGTGAGCATGGGGCTCAGCACCATATCTACAGGCTGGTGAAAGAATGAGAGACTCGGGGAGCAGGGAGGGGGGAAGAGACGTGTGTGCAGGAAACGGGGACGTGGGGAGGGGACCTGCAGGGGCAGCCCCTGAAGTGCCGAGAGAGCTGAGAGGAGCAGTTGTGACTCTACCCAGGAACAAACTGTGCCTGAACCTGCAGTGCCCAACCCCAAATAAACCCAAGATGCTGTGTCTTTTCAGAGGACCTGGTCTGGCTGTGTGAGCCTCGGGAGGGACTGGGGGAGCAATGGGGCCATCTGGGAGGCAGGCCGGAAGCAGTGCTCAGAGACGCACCCCGGGCATTTCTGAAGCTAGCACCCCAATGGACTCAGCCAGGAACATCACCAGACCCTGGAACCGAAGATGTGACGGTCCCCGTGCTGCCTCTCAAGCCCCTGCACTGTGGCGGTGGCCACGCCGGGAGGTCCGAGGAATGCATGGGCTATGCACCCGCAGCCATGTGCACCCCTGCTGCACTCGCAGGACGGTTCACACAGAGAGGCCCCGTCCCCGGGGGGGCGGGTTTTAGGTGTGGAGGTGACAGTTGTTGGACGGGGACACCGTCAGAACTCTCTGGATAGTTTCCGTCCATCTCAGTGGATGCGGATGCCATGACTATCTTCCATGACCACGCTGGGGGCGCTGGTTTCAGATCGAAGGAGACTGAGGTGGGGAGGGCAGGAGGCTGGGAGGGCAGGAGGCTGGGAGGGCAGGAGGCAGCGGGGCTGAGGAGCCTGGACTTAGATACGCAGCTGAAGGGGTTCCTGGGTTTATTTCTCCTGAGAACTGGCGTGGGCTCAGAGTTTTGCCAGTCCTGGCTTCGGTCCTAGTATTCTAAGCTGCCTGACCTTGGGCATTTGTCAACCTGTCTGAACCTTAGTCCCCTTTCCTCTCTGTAGAGTGGGAAGATACGAAGTCCCGGAAGTGCCTGGTGCAAGGTGCACTAAATACACCTAACAATGAGCTCCTCCCTCCCTCCCTCCCTCCCTCCCTCCCTGCCTCCCTCCCTGCCACGGGGAGGCCGGAATCCGGCTCCTTGCTGCCACCTAGTGGCTCTTTGGGGTCATCTTCCCTCATAGGAACCACAGATCAGTAGCCTAGAGTGGAAAGGGAAGGAAGATTCAACCTAGGGGTGTTAATGTTTATCGTGTGTCCAGCGCTCGGGGAGATATGGCGTGGGACAACGTAAGTAAGTAAGACAGCATCGAAGAGGTGTCATGGAGTGTGGTTAGGAGCAAGGGCTCTGGAGTCAGACTAGCTGAGTGACCTTGGGGCAAGTTACTTCATTTCACTGTGCCTCAGTTTCCCCATCTGTAAAATTTGTATAACAGTAACCTACCTCGCGTATCTACAGTGCCTAGCATAGTACCCCACACATTTCCCTAAATATACGTCGTTATTAATCATAGGAGCTTGCAGTCTCACTAAGTCAGGCTGGAAAACTATTAAGTGATCCTCAAAGCCACTGGCGTTCAGAGACGGGAGAGATTAAGGTGCAGGAGATTCAGGGAAGGTTAGTGTTTGAGGGGAGCTGCCCTTAAGGGGTGGGCAGCCTCTAGGGAAGCAGATGGAGGGAAGTTGGCAGCATCCCAGATTTGGGGAAGAGGCCAGCAGCCTAGTCTCCCGCTCCTCCATGGCCCAGCCCCCACTGTCTTACCACAGAACAGCTTTAACCAAACCTCTCCGGGCATCAGGACCACCGCTACACCTCTTGCCAGGCTGCAGAGCTGCGCAGTCTGGAGGCCCAGCTCTCATCAGAAGCTGGGGCGTGGGCTCTTGGGGAACCTGGGGTTGGAGGAGCCCCGGAGCAGGTGCCTGTATGTCCCCGCATGGGTTTGTGTTTGTGTAAGGCTCTCCTGCCCTCACCACCAGGCACCAGCACAGCCTTTGCCTTCACTCTCGCCCCTCCCCTGTCCCTGGGGGATTGAATATGGGAAGCTGGGGTTGGCCGTCCTTCTAGCTTGACTGGCAGCACCAGCGCTGTGGCGGAAGGATGTGTTGTGCCAGCAGCCTCTTGGCCACAGGACAAATGCACATTTAAAGAGATAACCTTTTTGTGTCCTGGCTGGGGAAGAGGTCAGTGCAGATGTTTTTGGGTCCAGGTGTTGGCTGTGAGTCTTCCTTCCCTCTATGAACTGACCTCAGCAGCCTAGTGGACAGTCACCTCCTTACAGGTGTAAAATCCAAGCCGGTCAACCATAGCAGGTGGCAGACTTAGCTGCCTTCCCCGTGGTGTGGTGCAGACCATGACCCTTGAGACAAATAGGTGAGCTGGCCCCACCTCGCCTGCAGCGTCCTCTGAGGCTCCCTGCTGCCTCCCCACTAGCCACCCTGAGTCACCTACTTCCCAGCACCCCTGGCCAGTAGTGCTCATCCCATCTTCCATCTGCCATCTGTCGCTCATTCTTCCAGAGCCAAAGAGGAATCCCCTCTTCTTGTGCAGAAGGCTTAGTCATGCCTGCCCTTGTGTGTCAGAGGCATTCCATTTACGCCTTGTTAGAACCCCTGTCACATGCTTGGTACCTGAACGCAGGTGCCTCTGTCGTCTCTTCTCATCCTCACCCAATGGGTACTGTGCTAGCCCCATTTTACCGATGAGGCAAATGTGGCACGGAGAGCTCCGCTAACTTGCTTGGACGATTCGTGCATCTGTTCATTCACTTAGCAAATACTTATTGAACTTCTGCTTTGTGCTAGGTACTGGGGATGTGTCAGTGGGAATGTGTCAGGGAGGAAGACGACAGACAGGCTCCTTGGGAAGCAAAGAGGAAGCAGGTGAGGAGACAGGCGGGCGTGGTGAGGCTGTGCAGGTGCTGAGGTCGAGTCACTGGGGGAGGCCTCTCGCAGGTGGTGGGGCTTGAGCTGATTCTGAAGGGCAGGAAGAGCCAGCCCTGGGGGGCCGGGGGAACAGTATTCCAAGCGGAGGGAACAGCAGGTGCTGGGGGCAGGGAGGTGACAGATGTGTCCAGGCACAGAGAAGAGGCCACTGTGTCCAGAATACAGAGTGAACGGAGAGAGGAGGGACCAGCGCATTCCAGGTGGGGAAAGGCAGCAGGCGGCCCGGTGGTGCCCCCTCTCTTGGTGAGGGCTTCGGACTTTACCCAGTGTGGTGGGAAGTCCTGGACGTGTGTTAAGCAAGGGAGTCCTTTTGATCGGATTTTCTAAAAAACAGCAGTAGGCTGCTCTGGACCTCAGAGAGGCATGTGTGTGTGTTTCAGTTTCTTCCCACAAAACTCAGCTCTGCGCAGTGAGACCTCATTGCCTGGTTCCGTTTGATGAGGGAGCGAATGTGCATGGCAGGCGGTCATGTCAATGGGGCCTGTGAGGCAAAGAAGGGTCCCTGAGCCCTGTGGGGATAGAGACTCCTCCACCATTCTGACATGATCCGAGTTAGGCAGCACTGTCCAGGTGGAAATGGGGACGGGAGATGGACCGTCTCTCTCAGTGGGTCCAGGCATGAGCCAGCAGACTGTTTCCCATTGGCCCCCGTCTTTCAGAGCAGGATGATCTTTCTAACAGAGAAACCCACGCAGGAGTTTGGGGGGTGTGTGTGTGTGGTTCTTCCCTTTCAGAACGGAAGCCAGTGGGGTGTGGAGCGAGGGGCTGGCATGGTTGGCCTCGCCCAGCTCCTGTACCGTGTGTGTGCTTAGAGCGTGCACCTGCTCCCTCTGCTGGGCTGAGACTCAGAGGACACCAGGCAGGTGGTGGGGGGTAGGAGGGCCGTGGCTGTGTTGGGTGGGGCCGCATCAGGTGTGTGGCACAGAGGGGGAAGGCGAGGTGGAGTGGCAGTGTGCTCCACCCAGTGGTCCCTTTGTTTGACCTCTTCATACACTCCCTGTTGTATTAGCTCTCAGAATGAAAACGAGACACTTTTCCCCAATCTATGTACGTTGTTCTTAAGGATGTACACTTGGCTGGGTACAGTGGCTCACACCTGTAATCCCAGCACTTTGGGAAGCCAAGGTGGGCGGATCACCCGAGGTCAGTTCAAGACCAACCTGGCCAACATGGTGAAACCCCATCTCTACTAAAAATACAAAAACCGCCTGGGTGTGGTGGTGGGCACCTGTAATCCCAGCTACTAGGGAGACTGAAGCAGGAGAATGGCTTGAACCCAGGAGATAGAGGTTGCAGTGAGCCGAAACCGTGCCACTGCACTCCAGCCTGGGCAACAAGAATGAAACTCCGTCTCCAAAAAGAACTTAAAGTTAAGCCAGGCCAGTGATCAAATTGACCTCTTACGAGTCATGTGATCTTGGACGAGCACCCCCTTGGGAACTTCATAATCTCATCTGTGAAATGAGAATAAAGTCTCCGACCTGGGGTTGCTGTCGGGAGGAGGAAAGGTCATGGCGTGTGAAGGAGCAGGGCCGCCCCTCACTCATGGCGTGCGCTCAGGGAATGTGAAATGTGGGCGTGTAAAAATGTCTCCTGACTGTGCCCTTCCCACCCCTAAAACACACGCACATCACGCATACTTATTTTTAGAGGAAAAAAAGCTCTAATGTCCCTCAAAGAAGGTGAGTAGAAGACCTCGAGTCTTGGTTTCGTGAGAACTGCCCAATGCAAGTTTTATATCTTCACCCTGGTGTCAGGAAAGGGGAGGGAGTGTTCTAAATTGGGGAGATAACTTTGTGACCCATTAAGGGGAGAAAGAGGCCCCAAGGGATAGTCTAGAAAGGAAAGACAGGCCGGGTGCGGTGGCTCACACCTGTAATCCCAGCACTTTGGGAGGCTGAGGCGGGAGGATCACTTGAGCCCAGCCCGGGCAACATGGCGAAACCCCATCTCTACAAAAAACAGAACAATCAGCAGGGCTTTTGTAGTCCCAGCGACTTGGGAGGCTGAGGTGGGAGGATCACTTGAGCGCGGGAGGTCAGGGATGCAGTGAGCTGAGATTGCATCACTGCGCTCCAGCCTGGACAACAGAGCGGGACCCTATCTCAAAAAAAATAAAAGCCAGGCACGGTGGCTCAAGCCTGTAATCCCAGCACTTTGGGAGGCCGAGACGGGCGAATCACGAGGTCAGGAGATCGAGACCATCCTGGCTAACACGATGAAACCCCGTCTCTACTAAAAAAAATACAAAAAACTAGCCGGGCGTGGTGGCGGGCGCCTGTAGTCCCAGCTACTCGGGAGGCTGAGGCAGGAGAATGGCGTAAACCCAGGAGGCGGAGCTTGCAGTGAGCTGAGATCCGGCCACTG